GGTCTCGAACTCCTGAGCTCAAACAATCCGCCCACCTCGGCCTCCCAGAGTGCTAGGATTACAGGCGTGAGCCACCGCGCCCGGCCCTAAATGTACAATTTATTGCCATTAAGTATATTAGTGTTGTGCAAACATCATCTGTGTCTATTGTCAAAACTTTTTCATCATCCCAAACAGAAACTGTCACCATTAAGCAATATCTCCTCATGCCATTGCTCCCCAAACTCTGGTAACCTCTAATCTACTTTGTGATGCTTTGAATTTGACTATTCTAGGTACCTCATATAAGTGGGATTATACAATATTTGTTCTTTTGTGTCTGGCTTATTTTACTTAGCGTAATGTCTTCAAGGTATCAGAACTCCATTCCTTTTTATGACTGAATAATATTCATTGCTTGTATATACCACATTTTGTTTATCCATTCATCTGTTGATGGACATATGAGTTGCTTCCACTTTTTCGTTATTGTGAATAATGTTGCAAATATCTGTTTGAGACCCTGATTGCAATTCTTTTGGGTATATACCTAGAAGTGGAATTGCTGGGTCACACAGTAATTCTATGTTTATTTCTTGAGGAACTGCCAAACTGTTTTCCATAGTGGCTACACCATTTTATGTTCCCACTAGCAATGTACAAGGGTTCCAGTTTCTCCACATCTTTTCTAACACTTGTTATTTTTTGCTTTGTTTTTGTTTTTGATTATAGGCATCCTAGTAGTTGTGAAGTAGTATGTCATTGTGGTTTTTTTTTGTTTTTTTTTTTGAGACAGAACCTCACTCTGCTGCCCTGGCTAGAGTGCCGTGGCATCAGCCTAGCTCACAGCACCCTCAAACTCCTGGGCTCAGGCAATCCTCCTGCCTCAGCCTCCCGAGTAGCTGCGAATACAGGCATGCGCCACCATGCCCGGCTAAGTTTTTCTATAAATTTTAAGTTATCCAGCTAATTTTTTTCTATTTTTTTTTAGCAGAGACGGGGTCACCCTAGCTCACAGCAACCTCAAACTCCTGGGCTCAAGCAATCCTCCTGCCTCAGCCTCCCGAGTAGCTGCGAATACAGGCATGCGCCACCATGCCTGGCTAAGTTTTTCTATAAATTTTAAGTTATCCAGCTAATTTTTTTCTATTTTTTTTTAGCAGAGACGGGGTCTCGCTCTCACTCAGGCTGATGTCAAACTACTGAGCTCAAATGATCCACCCGCCTGAGCCTCCCAGAGTACTGGGATTACAGGCGTGAGCCACCGCACCCAGCCTGGTTTTGGTTTTTATTTCCCTGATTACTAACGATGTTAATCATCTTTTTATGTGGCTATTGGCTATTTGTATATCATCTTTGGAGAAATGTTTATTCAAGTCCTTTGTCTATTTTTAATTTGGTTGTTTGTCTTTTTATTATTATTGAGTCACAGGAGTTCTTTATATGTTCTGGATATTACACCCGTGTCAAATATATGATTTGAAAATATTTTCTCCCGTTCTGTAGGTTGTCTTTTCACTTTCTTGGTGTTGTCCTTTGATGCACGAGAGTTTTTAATTTTGTGAAGTCTAATTTATCAATTTTTTTTTTGTTGCTTGTGCTTTTGGTGTCATAGCTAAGAATCCGTTGTCAAATCCAATGTCATGAAGATTTACTTTGATGTTCCCTTTTGAAATATTAAACCAAAAAATTTTTTAAGGGCTGTAAACATCCGTTTTTTAAAATCTGCATTGTTGAAATGTTGTATTGGGTGGATTAGAATTCAGTCACAGACTTAATTCTTTGCCAAACTTGTGAAAAGAATTCATTCCTCTCCTGTGTCAAAGGCATTATATAGTGTATGAGCTGGGAGATGCTCCTTAAAAAGCTCCTGGTCTGAGTTACTGATGATGAATAGTCTTTCACTTTTATGGCACCTCCTTCATTTTACCTGGGCTGCTGTGTTCAGAAGTATTGTGAGGCCTCATCTAGGCTACATGGAAAGGAGTACTGGGATCTACTAAAAATATCTTCCCTGAGCTTTTTGGTAGTAGATTTTAAAGTCCTTTGATGGAAGAGGCATTTCTTGGGATAACTTGATTGCCCCTTAATTACAGTGCTTAACCAGAGCTGTCTACTTTACTTATTCACTGTATAGGAATCGAATCAACAACAAAAAATGTTGAGAAAGGAATTAGTATAAATGAGCTCTACTATGAGGCAGGCACTGTGCTAGGTGTTTTACATGAGATACTATTTAGTCCTGCAGAGGTTGTTTACTTAGATGAGAAATTGAGGCTTGTAGAAGTTAAGTAACTTCATCAAGTAGTTCATACTATGAGAATCACTGAGCTGTGACTCAAACTTAATGTCTCTCTGATTCGAAAAATTATTTTTAAATATGTAAACAGATGGTAATTAATACATGATGTGTAGTGATTTAATTTAAGTAGATAAGAGGTAAGGACTTTTATAGAGATTTATCATGAGAAGATAGTATATTGAAGATGCAGAAAGTAGAAAACATTGTCCATGGTTTCTTCCTTTGAATTCATCACCTTGTTCATGTTGTAGTATTTATTTCCTCATGGCCTTTTTTCCTATGCCCGTGCCAGATTTGTTTGTAGTCATAATGTGTACATAGTTTTGTACTCTACCCATATTGCTTTTGTCTGATAAGCATGTTTCTCATGTTATTACATAAGGACATGGTGATTCAATTAAACTCTGTAAGAAAGTCTAGGTGATCTTGTTTCCCTGCGTAATAAAATTTTAATCTGGATCTAAACCACTATTCTTGTCTTTGTACTGCCAGAGTTTGGTTTTTTGATAATAGTTTTTGAAATTCGTATTTCATATTAATTAGAACATAAAAACTGGCTAAAATATGAAGTATTAAAGAACTTCCAAAAGGTTATTTCTTGGAGGTCATAATTTCGTGTTTTATCTAGTACTGATTCTTGAAAGCATGTCTTAATAAAATGATTTTCAACATCTTACACCGTCTGTGACCCATAATCTTGAATTTTGTTGCCAGAAGCCTCCATCCAACCATGCATTCCTCCAGTCATTCATTCATATTGTAGGTATTTGTTGAGGGCTCAAAAAGAACTTAAAATGCTAGTAATTGAGTTGAGATACGTATGAAGATTATACAGTATAAAGAAAATGTGTTGGGTGTTGACAGTAGTCATAGAAAAGACTAAGTGCTCAGAAGCATTAGGACTAATGCTAACGTGTACTTTAGCTGATCAAGACAATGCAAGGACATGGTATTTGAACAGGTTTTGTAAGATGGGTAGAAATCTAAAATGTACTATCACTGATTTCACTGCATTACATTGTAATTGATGCTCCTATGCTTTATTATATGCTTTCTATGGAGTAAAAAGTTTGAAATTAGTCATTTCTCTAAAAGTTTTCAGTGCCTTAAGAGTCCAGTGAAAATTTTGGCTTTTTAAAACGAAAGACTTAATAAATCACCTGTTCCCTTAGTGTGTCTTCAGCTTGAGCTTGAAGCTGGCAGTTCATTCTTGTGTGTAAATGGACCTAAGGATGTTGTACTATTACTTGAGATTGTAATTGTTTTCTAATGTGGATAATTTAAACAACTCATTTATAAGTTAGCTAATTAAATAACTATTGTATTTGAAAGCATTAAACTGCATTTAAACCTTATACCTATTCTATAAAGCAAGCTTTTCATCTGTTAACTGTGGAGTAACAAGACTTTTTCATTGATGAATTTATTTTTCAAATCATTAGAAAGAAATGGTAGTAGATAGCAAGATAAATTGACCTTTATTACCTGTTTTTTATTATGGGACTGGCAGTGTGTCACAGATTTCTAGGTTTACAGAATAGGATTTGATATTCATTTGTCTAATCCTACTTTTTGACCCATGCTTTATGTTTCATGTGTTCAGTTGACAGATTTATGTTTTGTGCCTGAGATTTGCTTTTCCTTATAGTTTTTGGCTGCCTGTTACACTCTGAAATGTGTCATTATGTTTATTATGTCATATGTTTGCACCCTTATTGTGACCCATGAAGTCTTAGGGAAGATATTTCTTTTTTTTTTTTTTTT